GTACATTGAAAATTGCATCAAGTCTCAAAAAACCAAAGACCTTGATTAGAACTGTGCATGTAAATGTACTGATTGAATCAACCAATGGCTTGAGTTTGAAGCATTATTTGTTTGAGCAGTAGCAAGTGGGCAGAGTGTTTGTAAGTTGTCTGACAACAGTCATTATTTTTTCCAATTCTGTTTGGTGCCAGAAATGACACATTTTAACTTTCTACGAGACAGCAAGGCAAAGAGGAAGAGAGGCAGAGAGTTGTGTTTCTGGTTTAAATGTGGGGGATGTAAGACAATGTTTACACTTCTCGAAGTTGCCACTCGGCCTGCGACTTTAGGAGGCCCTTCTACTTGAATTAGGAGAAATCCTTTCAGAGATGGGTTGCAGGGATCAGGGGGTGGCTTTTCAGCATGACAAAACCAAACCCATTTCCCTCCTTTTTTCCCCCTCCAACACTCTACAGGACGCCTTGAGAGCTTACACAATGCAAATCAGTCTGAGCCCCCTTTCAGAGAGTGATTACCATGCATAGACGACCCATCTTTATCAAACATCGCAAAATGGAAAACAACTGGAGAACATTTGGGACGATTGGATTTCAGTCAGCTTGCACAAAATAAAATTAATACATTTTTACAAGAAGGAGTCCCAGTGTGAACAGTACAGCATGAAAGCATTAAAATGTTTTTATCTGGTGAACCATCCAGCGATCCTACAGCATGGGGGCAAATCTCTCTACCAGATCACAATTCCTTTCAGCTCTGATCTGACACTTATGTTTTTATTGGCATCAGTCTTAGTAAAGCAATACCATTATAAAATTCACTCTGTAATAATTAGTGGTCGACCCATATATCGCCAAGGCCGATATATCTGCCAATATTTGGCATTTTTCAAAAATCGGCATCAGCCGTTAAGTTTTTCTGTTTGGCCGATGCGTTCGAGTCGCGCCAGACTTTTATTTTGACGAATCCCTTCAATGAGGGATTGAAGAAAAATCACGTTCAAAAAGAAGGCGCGTGACACTGTAATCCAAGCGATGATAGTAGTAGACGTAGAGGAGTGGGATGACTTTTTTCCTTTATAAGGTAGCCTAATTTTTACAATGTTTTTGTAATGTATCAATTATCACGGGCTGTAATCCTATTCTGCTCACAGGTGATTGGAGATGAGTTTTGTTCCTGCTTTGTTGCAGTTTGCTGATTTTTGGAAAATAACTTATGTTTTTGCTTTTCAGATAAAAGGGTAGTTACAGGCTCATTTATTGGTAATAAATAATTGATAATAAATAATACTGATGATAATAAATTATCAAAAAATATTGGGCTTGGTTTTGAAGCTGCGGTTGCTTATTTGTCTCGCGAGAGTTGGCAACAGTGGTCGTTAACAGTTCTGTCTAATACGGATAAATCCAGTTGTGAGATCTTGTGAAGTGTGCATGTGACCTGCATGATCGCGTGTTCTCTGCGTGACTTTCGGTCAGTGCAAATTGAATGCTTTAAACATTAAATTCGTGATTTCAAATTATGCTGACCTTTATGCATTGTGTGCTGTATGTTACCTTGGCTTTATTTGAAAAAAATATGATTCCCAATGCACACAAACTTCCCAGAATACTGAGTGCTCTGTTGGTTACAGTTTACTTCCTTTTTAATTATATTTTTATTAAATATGTATTTATTTGTGCAACATACTTTTTCATCTAAATTATAAGTATGTTTATTTTACAAATTAATTTTTTAATCCATTTTCAAATGATTTCAAATTTCTTAAATATTAATTAAAATAAATACAATTATATCGGCTTTATATCGGCCACCCTGCTTTCCAAGATATCGGCATCGGCTGTCAAAAAAACAATATCGGTCGACCACTAGTAATAATTACCATACTAAAGGACTCTGAATCTTTTTTTCTGAGAGGAACGGTTCAGAGGTGGACCCTTTACCAGTAGAGATAAAATATCTGGTTAATTTTAATGAGACATTAAAGTTGTGATAAATTCATTCTATTATAACACATAACTATTCAGGAGGCATACATTCTCTGGGAATTAAAAAAAATAATAATAACAGGAAAGAGCCTGTCATTAATTTATGTGCCATAAGTCATAGTGTCATAAGTCAAAATCTGTTGATTTAATTGTACAACAACAAAAGCACAACAAACAAAAGCACTTATAATGGTAAACTGCACCTGAAATACTGAGATTGTTATTAAATATAAAGTTCAAATATAAGAAAATGTTACAATTCTAACATTTTTAATCAATTTAAAAATATTGAATGACTGCACATAAAAGCACTAAATTATAGTTAAATTCAAACACCACAAAAACACCTCACTTTTTTACCGTTACAGTTACCATGCTAATATATAACAATATATAAAAATAACAATAATGCTAAGAAAAGCAGTTACATTTGTGATGTGGGGATATGGCTATTTATCTGTATTCAGCACACACAAACAGCTCTCTGTCAACATCAACATGTCAGCACCATACAGCAGCATGTGCCTCTACACTATAACAATCACTTTAGTGATATATAGAGATAAGGAGTGGTGGTGAGAGAGAGCGCAAAAGAGAATTAAAATGCAGGTGCTCTGTACCGTTACACCTCAAAAGCATTGTTTAAACCCCCACATGCTCTAAAACTGTTAATATTATTTCAAGGCTTCACTCTCTGTCTTTTTATCTCTCAAATAGGTGTGCTTCATGTACTTCCTCTTTTACACATCCACACTGTGCTGATGCTCAGATGAGAAACTGAAACTGCCCCTAGACATTAGACAGCTAGACATTACACATACGCACATCTTACTTACATCTAATAATCAAAAATTATATATTTTTCCTATTCATATAAGGTCATACATAACTCCCGAAAATACTTTGATTGGATGAAGATAACATAAACTTCCAAAGATTTCATCGAACAATAACTTTACTGAATAAAAGCAAACACACTAGACATTAATGATAAATTCACAAACTCCATCATTCTTTAAATAGGACACGTGTACGAACTCACACAACTGCATTTTTTAACATCCTGCCCTAATTACACACAAATTAAGGACGCCTTCTATAACCTGCCAAACACACCAGGACAAAAACTCCCACACCTGCTAGGAGGAACCTCAAACCTGCTCAAACCAGCTGCAAGGTTAGTGAAGTCCTGCCACGACAAAAGGGCAACCAGTGGGACAGGACCACAGACTGGAAAATAACATCATCCCTCTGCATCACACATACAGATTATAACCACTAACAGCTATTACTTTACAACACCACTCCATTTCACCAAGCACCTGTGTGTAAATATAATATACAGTCTGAGTCCAGTATATATCCATAATGTGCATACAGTACATATATAAACACATACACAAATGCATACATATATATTAGGGGTGTAACGGTACACGTATTTAGATTTTTATCACTAAGAACATTTAAACTATAACTGAATGTATTTAAAGAAAGAGCAACTTGTTCAGTAAACCGTTTAAAAAAAAAAAGTTTTTCCCCCTGCTGTACCGAAATCATACCGAACCGTGACGTTAAAACCGAGGTACGTACCTAACCGTCATATTTGTGTACCGTTACACCCCTAATATATATATATATATACATAGTAATATCTATATTACATATTTGTCTAAACCACTGCAGTTGTGCGTATACAATATGTTGATCTCATTGAAAACCTATTAACAAAAACCTGTTAACACATTTTTATCCTAGACACCTTTAAATGCTGTGTATATGTTTGCAAATATGCATGTATATAATGTTAATGCGCTGGCAATGTAAAGCTTCTGTTTTGCTATGAGAAAGAGGTGGGGGAAGGCGAGAGGGGGTGACAGAATATAATTCATTCCCGCCCAAGTCTTACTCTCTGATTGGCTGGAAATGATCAACCATGCATTCGAATAATTTCAATAATCACACGAAACATTTTTGGAACAGTTCCATTTATCATTCTTATATACGCATCGCCCTCATAAATCACACTTTCGCTTGGTTTTTTTAATTGGCTGCCTGATCTGCTTATAAACAGCCTGGATATTCGTTATACATGCATGAGAAGGGTAACTTCGGTCTTTAAAGGGACAGTTCAGCCATATACGCACACTCATGTTCTTAATCTTACGTTTGTGGGACTCAAAAGGAGAGGCAAAAGGTTAGAGACAGACAGCCTTTAGTCACCGTTCACTTCCATTGCATCTCTTTCCATACAACGAGAGTGAATAGTGTCTATCACTCTGACAACATCTTCTTCTTAAAGAAAGTAAGTCATAGAGGTTCGAAATAAAATAAAGGTGAATAAATGAGGTTATTTTTCATTTCTTGTTGAACTATTGCTACTCAAACAGTCATAGGATAAACTAATTCAAGTGTAATGCCGAGATGTTCCAGTCGTTCAACACGAGCGCTCCCAGCTGCGCCTCAGCACCGCCGTGACCATCCCGAATATGAACACACGGATGAAAACACACACATTAAAACACCCCACAATAAACTTTGGGGCTGGTTATTGTGACGGCTTAGCTGGCCGTGTTGTTTTACACAACACACCAGATGGTTGTTTTTCTTGTCTCCCAACACAAATCTCAAAGGAGCCAATGCGCAGTTATGTCCACACAACCATAAACAACGCGATTTCGCGCTCTTAAAATTTCAAGAATCACTCATAAATGTACGGTTTGTTTTTACACAGGGATGCGAGACTTCATATCCCACCTAACTGGAGCCAGTTTGGCAACGTGTGCCAATTTGGCAGGGTTGAAAACAACAGTTTGTTTTAATGAAAAGGACGGCTAGATATAAACCGAGGCAGTTTGTAAAGCTGTATCACTGAATGAACCAACTCGAACTACCTCGCATCCTCATCCTCTAGCGCGCTGTAGCTGCTTCCGTGCTGTGAAGCCAAAGCGCCAGGACAAACAAGGATGCGAAAGGATACAGTAACACAGTGCAACTGATACAAGTGCATCTTACCTGCATAACCAAAGAAAATCAATGTCCAAATGAGATCCCTTATCTGAAGCATTGCAATCTCTTCCAAAGGTATGCTCCGTGTAGAATAGGTAGAGTTGGTTCAGTTATTATCTAAACGAATACGATGCTTTGCCCCTGTTTCAGGTTGCTGTAATATCATGAATTGGTCCTTAGCCGTTGACACTGAATGCGCTCCGAGCAGCACAGCGAACGAGTGACAAGAGCCGCAGCACGCACAGCACGAATTCATCCGCCAATGTATGGAGCACGCTGGATACACGGGAATAAACTAGTGCGCGCACTTTATTCAGTCTGGTGCCGCTGCAAATCACAAACAGCAGATGGTGTGCTCGGAAAATCTCGTCATGGACTGCCGGGGTTATTCGGATTAGGATTTCTTATAAACTCGACAATGGTTACCGGTAGCCGATTCAAAGGCGGGTTTTGTTTCCTCTCACCAGGCTAATTATATGAGTATAAAGCGGATGTGTGCGGCATAGCAGTAATCACAGTCCTTTCACCTATTGCACGTACTCAAGCAAATGCAAGGAAATACAAACAGGTCAAACAAATAGAATGCAACCTATTTTGCTATATTACAATGGATTTAATTAACTACTGCATTTTTTCGTTTTTCGTGGGAATAATTGTGATAAATAGCAGGTGCTTAATCTGTATCAAATGCCAAACAGAACCAAATGTAAAGGAAAAGTTCTGACAATTATGCAATCTTTTTTTTTTTACACACCCATTTGACTTTCTTCAATACTTTTGTGGAACACAAAATAAGACACTTTTGAAATTGAATTTCTAAATATGAATTCTGAATTAAACATAGTTTCCCGGCAGAAGAATGTTAAAGAGATTAACAGTAAATGGTTTAAACGATTAATGAAATATTAGCCAAGCCACAAAAGAATATGAAATATATTTTATTAAATCTATTTTATTCATTTGAATTAAATTTAGATTTCAATAAAGTTTATAGTTTTTAGTTTTGTTTTACTTTGTTTTATTTTTAAAATATGTGAGAAATTTAGAGACTCAACAATGTACTTACTGTAGGCTTCAGATCCCCTTTTGGTTATAGAGGTAAAAGGGAGGATAGATGTCCTGGTTTTGTCCCATGAAAAGGTCAATAACAATAATTCCCTAAGACAGGAGTTGCATAAGGAGAGCATTGCTTCAGACTTATCTTAATAATTTGAAGCCAAGTGTGAAACTGCATTCCATGAACTGTCAGAGGTTAGAGAGGAGAGGGCTCCTCCATCTCCGTTTCCAATCAGAATTGAATGAATGAATGAATGAATGAATGAGGCATTTATATAGCGCTATTTTGTGTATTGCCGTACACCCAAAGCGCTTTACAATCATGTGGGGGGGCTCTCTCCTCAAACCACCACCAGTGTGCAGCATCCACTTGGAAGATGCGGCGGCAGCCACAGCACAACCGCGCCAGTGTGCTCACCACACACCAGCTACAGGTGAAGAGGAGAGAGAGTGATAGAGCCAATTCAATGGATGGGGATTATTATGAGGCCATGATTGACAAGGGCCAGTGGAGGGAATTTGGCCAGGACCTGGCCGGGGTTACACCCCTACACTTTACGAGAGGTGCCATGGGATTTTTAATGACCACAGAGAGTCAGGACCTCGGTTTAATGTCTAATCCGAAAGATGGTGCTTTTTGACAGTATAGTGTCCCCGTCACTACACTGGGGCATTAGGACCCACACAGACCACAGGGTGAGCACCCCCTGCTGGCCTCACTAACACCTCTTCCAGCAGCAACCTAGTTTTCCCAGGAGGTTTCCCATCCAGGTTCCGACC